TAAAGAAAGGTAAGAATGCCAGTGTAACTTGGTAACAGAATGTGGGTGAAAAAGATATGGGTGTTTCTAAGTGAACATACAACCCTGAAGAGGCTTAAGAAATGGGTTAGGTTTAATTCTCAACTCCACAAATACAAAGTAAGTAATTTAAATTCCACTTACAGACAACACATAATACTGAGTGTTATAAAGAAGCATTGTAATGCTAGGTGATTTGCATTTTGGAAAGATAATACTTTTGAAAGTTGTAAGTTACAATGAAAATATTTCTAAGACATCTATCACATCACCTCAGCCCACTCTGGATGTCACCAGAAGATAATGCACAGAGTTGTGAACTCCCCACATTCTTTGCCTTAGGGCAGTCTGTAGTAAAAAACATTTGTTTGGCTTGCATGAAGGGGGTTGGCTAGAAGTTTCTGAAAATTAATGCTCTCTACAATATTTTGTGTTGCCAACCCAAAAGCACACAGTCTAAATCTACCAGCTGCTCTGCAAGAGAAATTTAGATATACTCCTCCCATGTGAATTTCAGCCTCTGAAAACCTGCTATAGAGTTAACCATGAATGAGTCAGTTCTCACTCAATAAATAGCACATAACAATAAGAAGACTAATAATCAATGAGGAATAGGAATGGTCGCAAAAGATCCCGTATTCTTTTGTAGTCTGTTAAGACAACTTGCATGTCTGTTATACTTACTCTCTTTCAGAGAAGACACAACATCTCCATGGTGTGGAACATTCAGGGATCCTAGTTTAATTTACTGTTCTTTTTCCTTGGTTTCCCATTCTTACAATGGCTCTGAACTTATCCTCCCCATCTCTGACAAACTTGTTACAGCCCATTTTTAGAGTCATTGGGTAAATCCATCTTGTTGGGAGTCTTCCTCTCTTACTCTGACCTTCCACCTTTCCAAGTATGATGTTCTTCTCCAAAGACTGACTTTTCCTTAAAAACATGTCCATAATATGTGGGACACAGTTCCACCATCCGTGCCTTCAACAAGTACCTTATTTTCATTTTGTTCAAGATAGATCTACTTAATTCTCTTGGCAGTACCTGGGATATTTTGACCAATTATTATGATATTGCCTTTTGGCCTGGTGGTGAGGATATTTGTCTTCTTGATGTCGAGAGACAATCCATATTGAAGGCTACAGACCTTGAACTTCTGCACTAGACACTTCAAGTCTTCCTTACTTTCAGCTAGCAAAATTGTGTTATCTCCATAACATGGGTTTCTGATGCATCTTACTTCGATTCTGATGTCAATTTCTTCTTCATAAAGTCCAGCTTCTTGAATGATCTGTTCACTATATAGAATAGATATGGAAAAAGTATATATCCCTGACACACATTTTCCCTGATTTTGAATCCTTTTCCCTTCTCTATATATGGACAAATGCTTTTTGGTTTAAGTATAGGTTTCACATGTGCACAATTAAGTATTCTGGTGTTTTCATTTGTCTCAAAGTTAACCATTATTTGTTGAGATCCTCATTCAAAAATGAAGAAAGGTAGTTGCAAATATCCACTAACAACTTGAATGTAGAATGTACAAAATATTAATTTAGGAAAATTGGACATTTAAAAAAATATAATGGAACACATTTTAGGCATTAGCAAGCAGAGATGCACTGGCATTGGCCACTTTGAATGAGACAATCATTTGATCAACTATGCTAGGAATGAAAAAAACAAAGAATGAGGTTTCAATCATAGTAAAAAAGAAAATGTCAAGATCCATTTTGAAAAAGAATGCTATGAGTGACAAAACACTACCCATATACATACCAGGAAGACCTGTTAATATAACTATTATTCAAATAAGTGTAAACAAGCAAAAAAAAAGAAAGAAAAGACACTTAGGACTTGTACTAACTTTCTCTGAAAGAGATCAAACAAGCAATAAAAATTAATTAATAATAATTGGTTACCAGAACACAAAATTTGAGAACAAAGAAGAAGGACTGGTAGTCAGAAATTACAAACTTGTTGACAGAAATAAGGCTAAAGATCGAATGACTGAAATTTGTACAATCAATAGTTTATTCATTGCAAATACATTTATAAACAATCCCAAACAGTAAATGTACACACGGACCTCACTTGATTAACTGCACACGAATCAGATTACCCACATCTGTGGAAAGAATTATTAGAGAAGCTCAGCACCTGATGTGAAAACTTGGTACTATGAAAGAGATCAATTACTTACTTATATGCATGTTCAAACTGAAGCTAAAGAAAATTTAAAAATATTCACAAGAACCAAAATATGAGTTTGAGTCTATCTTGTCAAATTTATAGTTTATTATAAAGTGCTATAGACATACTATACTAATGTCTAATACAAACAACATCATCATCATAAAAGTTACATTTAAAATAAAAAAGATTGCAGTATGTTTACACTGATACAAGCTTTAAAAATGTTTAGTTATTTAGACCATAGATATCTAAGTAACAATTTAAAAAGAAAACCATAGGAATAATAACTATAATAAATAATATTAATAATAAATATGATTAATTATAATAATAATAAAAATAAGAATAAATTCAGGTTAATAGTGTCTTCAATAAAGAGGACAGGATTAGCTGGGCTCTACCAGAAATTTCAAGATGATAGAACTATCCTTTTCCTTAAGCTAGGTAGTGGCAAACATAGTAATTGGATTACATTTTGTTTATTTTACATTATTGACAAATACCATAAGCCACTTTTTTAATATTTGATAATAATAAATTTTAAATAGGCAACAATGATATTTTGATCTTGTTATTGTAGATTATTACTGAAATTAGCATTAAAATAATATTTTAACAATAAATTGTGAAATGAAATATGATAAAGGATAGGCTAGATTATTTCCCAAAAACCAACATAACATTTTAATAATTCCAAAAAATATTGACCCTTTTGTCTTAAATAATAGCACAATATGCAATAATATGAGTCTTTTATAATTATTTATATAATGGTGAAGTCGTATTCCTGCTCATAAAAAAATTGCAAATGGTTGGAACAATTAATATCTTGGTAGCTATTCTTTCACTTCAATAAATTCATTTTAGTGCTATTTAGTAGGGACCCACAGAGAGCAGGAAGTTGAAAATAGACCTCTTCCCAGGTGCACACTCCTTTGAGAGTCTCTCTTCACAATCTCCCTAATCTAAGTCACCATATTTTATTGTCTATGCAGTAGGCTTCCACTTTAGATGGTCACTTATATTTTCTGTCTCTGGTAACTATGGGTAAAACAAAACACACAGGAGAAATTCAAAAGACAACATCAGCTATTCTACAAATTTGGGGAAGAACAAAAAAGGATTGTGACTGGAGACTCCTATTGCTCTGTAAATAATGTGAGTGTTACCAAAAAAGCCCTTAAAGAAACTAGAATGAATAGGAGATCAATGCGAATAGGCCCATCCTGGACCACATTTGAGGCCATTGTCTCAGGAAATGCTTCATGTCAAACATATCCTCTGAATCTATGTCTCAATACTGTTTTTGTCCTTCCTTCCTGGTCTTAGACCTCAATTATCTTTCTACACACCCTTTGTAGTTTAAACATTTTGCTATTTGGTATATTTGTCATATCTCCAAAGAATTTCTATTGGAAGAGCCTCAAGCAAAAAACTGAGCATTGAGATTTCTTGAGTGTGAACTCAGAGTAAAAAAATAAATAAATAAAAATTTAAATATACTGAATTTGAAATAATTTAAGACACATTTCCAGTGTCTCTTGAAACACTTGGTTACAGAAAAACAAGAGAGACAGCATAGAAAGGATTTTAGGAATATGAAAAAAAATAACTAAGTAAAGTTTTTTTTTTTTCCCCTCCAAGAGCCTGGGCTGGCTCAAGCCCATGTTCATTCTGGAAGATTCGCCGATTGCTTTCTGATTTTGAGAAGTGCAAGAGGGTGGGGGAGAAAGGGGGTGGGAAAACATGAGGGTGAGGGGAAAGGGGAAGAAAGAAAACAACAAAAAAATCCCTTCTATTGTCTTTATTTCCATCAACTTCTTTTTTCCCTACACACATATTGCAGGAACAATCTTCAGAGAAGATGTGATCCTCAAATATGATAAGATTTTTCACCAATTTAGTCAGGAGAACAATCACTCACGGTATTCAAATAGCATTTTCCCTCTATTCTTACTGTATTTCAAGAGAATAATTATGTAGGAAGAGAGAGCAAGGTCTACTTATTTTAGTAAACAGAGAAGCAAAGACAAAAACCAGTATCACACTCTAGCTAAGCTGAGCTATGTAAAATCAACTCCAGATTTTCCAAAACTGAATCATAGTCCCTACATCCACTCACCATGAATTCCTTCTCTCTGTCTTCTCCACACTCTGGTTCACACACTACTCTTTCACAGTTGGCATCTTTTCCTGGATCTACACACAACAGATGGAGGGTCTTGATGGTATAGCATGTTAATACATATGCTTAGCCTACAGGACACTTGTCCCAGTTCCCAGTCAGATGAATTTTTTCTTTATACAATATCACTATGGTTTGAAAAATCACAATGCAGTAACTTCTATACCATCAAACGAGGGTTTCAAGGCAGGCATTCAAGAAAATAAGCACTGTAGATAAACTGAAAAAAAATCCAGGGTGAAGGAAAATAGAAGAGAAGAGGATGTAAGTGGTTGACAAAAGTAACAATTAAGAAACATGAAATCCATTTGTTCTCTCTCATGAGAAAAACTCTTTCCATCTATGGAGAGCAGTGTGATATGATATCCTCAAGAGAACATGGGTCCAGACAGAAAAAGTCATCATTCTGCCATTAATGACCTTGTTATGCATCCTTGGACAAGTCTCTTTAACTCCTTGAGTCTTAGTTCCCAAATTGCAACATGAGGATAAAAAGAAAATTTATTTTTCATATTTCAAAAGAATGTATGAAAAACACACAAAAATGCTTTATAAACTATGAATTATGATTTAAGAGTTAGCCATTGACCTGTCTCTACTGCTACTCAGAAGGGAAACCCAACTGGTGTAGGATTTTTCTTAGAGATGATTTCACCTCCTTATTCCGGAGGCTGTAAATCAAGGGGTTCAGCATGGGCGTGACCAGGTTGTTCAAGACTTGAACAGTTGCATTAAGCCAGGGACTAGGGGTGGGTTGCAGGTAGATGAGGACCACAGGCATGTAGAAGAGAAGAATGGCAGTGAGGTGGGCACTGCAGGTGGAGAAGGCACGACGTCGACCCTCTGCAGAGCGGATCTGCAAGATGGAATAGACAATACGGCTGTAGGAGGTTAGAATGAGAAGGAAGCAGCTGAGAGGCATGAGGCCCACACTAATGAATCCCACCATCTCCAAGGCTGAGGTATCTGCACAGGCTAGCTTCAACATCACTGGAATATCACAGAAGTAATAGTCCACCTCATTGGGACCACAGTACGGCAATTGGAATGTCAGAGTAGTTAGAAAGATTGCCTGAATACAGCCAAAAACTGAGGTCCCCATGGCCAGGATGGCGCATATTCTGTGGCTCATGATGACTGTGTAGCGCAGAGGGTAACATATGGCCACAAAGCGGTCATAGGCCATCACGGTGTACAGAAAGCACTCAGTGCAGCCCAGGAAATGGTAAAAGAAGAGCTGGCACACACAGCCAGCATAGGAGATTGTGCGGCTATTCCCTGAGAGATAGAACAGCATCTTGGGGGAGCTCACTGACGGGAAAAAGATGTCAAAAACAGATAGCTTGCACAGAAAGAAATACATAGGAGTGTGAAGTCGAGTGGAGGAGATAATCGCGAGCAGGATGAGCAGATTCCCCATGAGGGTGAAGAGGTAAAAGGACAAAAACAAGGCAAAGAGCATGTCTTCCAGATGCTCTGTGTGTGGGATACCCAGCAGTATAAATTGAGTCACTACTGAACGATTCCTCATTGCTGCAGATAAAACTCAGTAAGGATCCAGGACAACAAAGTACTGGCACCAACATCAAGTTATCAAGCTTCTTGTTGATGATTACACTGTTTATAATAAGCTAAGTTTCTTATGCAAGGTAGATACTTGTAAACACATAACTTAATAAGAAACAGGACTATTTCAGAGGTGCAAACTATCCAAATCCTAAAGGAATATTTTATAGAGGTAAATGATTCCCCGAAGTTATTGGAAGTTTAGAGATACATTCAAAACGTTATGGTAAATTACAAAATCCTTTTACAGGTGTTTAATTTATGGTTTTATTCTCTTTGAGATATTTACATTTTGAACTGTTACCATCTCTTTGAATAATAAATTCCTATTATTCGTTACCCTCTGAAAAATACCAGGAAAACATTGAATTAGAAATAAGAACACTTACTTTTGTCCCTCTTTTTGACAGTTCTTAGTTATGTGAGTTAGAAGAATTTAACATCATGGTTTTCAAATGCATAGTTTCTTCATTTGTTAAGCAAAATAATAATAATATACCAAGAACAATACCGATAACAAAAACATCCTCCTGAAATCATGTTTAATTTATGAAGTGTCTGTGATGTGAACTTGGCAAAAGCATAAGTCATTATAAAAACATGCCTTTAGTGTCTGTACCTTCAATTTAGTTCTTTGAGTGTTTTCCTTTAAGACCGGTGTTATATAATTATTTTCAAATAGGTGTTTTATTAAATAACATTGCTGAGTAGACCTAGAATGTATCCATTCACATTGTATCCTTTTGAAGCGAAGAGTTCTAATTCCAACTCTATCAGGAGATGCTGCTATGGTTCTTCTTGGTGGTTCTATTTTTCTAAGTGGCCTTGAAGTGACTCTGAAATATTAAGAAGGAGAAATAATGACACAAAGCAAACTGTCAGATTCATATCATTTTGCTCAAGTGAGATATGCAATGACTCACACGAAAGAAAGACAACAGATTTCTAATAAGTTATAAAAGTGTGTGCTACAGAGTATGATAGCTGGAAGACAGAAGAATATCTCTTATTATTTGTGAAGTAACAAAACAATAATATGCACACATGTATACTGTTTTTAATTCTTATTTATTGTATTTCAAGAACCTGGTTGAAATCTTTTGAGATAAGGTTTAATTTTTAAATAAATCTCTAAGGAGAATATTGACATTTTACACATCAAGAGACTGAATCTTGGGAAAATTCAACAAAATACTCACAGAAAAACTTGGTATATTACAAAGTCAAGACCCATATCTATTTAATTACATTGTTTGTCTTTTTAATCATTTGGAAAAACTGACTTCTGTTTATCTGTGTTTTCTGAGACCCGTGTATCACTACAAGCTAATAACCAAAAATAAGTACTACTCTCAATAGGTTCACATCATAGATTAATAATAACACTGGAAGCAATTTCATATTTTATTTCTTGGTAATTTCCTGTCTTGACTTTAACATTGAGTTAATATCTAATTTCATTTTCAAAATTAAGGAATAATTTTTTCCTACTCCTTTGACAGACTACACACCAATTCATCAGAGTGGTTTATCTGTCTTTTTTTTAACCTTCCTATCAGCTTACTTCAAGTTACAAACACACATTCAGCAGATTTCAATCATAAACTCTCCCCAGTACAGTTATAAATCATTTCTAAAGAGAATAATGAAGCCAGAATGAGTCATTCACTTATAGTCGTAGGATCAGGCAACACAGAAAAACTGCAGAAATGAAATATCGACCTTACAGGGCCTATTGCTATCAGTCCTCTCGATAGTACTTCTAGCCATACCTAAACTGTATCTCTGAGAAACTTAAATTTTTGTGACTTCTGGCTCTTCTTCTCTTGGTCAGTACAGACCTCAGACTTATCTATCATCAGACATCATGATTTTTTGTAAGTTAGTAATCCTGTTCGATATTGAAGTCCATTGCGAAATAAGAATTTCTCAACATTCAGAAAGATTCCTTGAACACATGAATTTATTGATCTATAAGTTGCAAAGCTTACAGTGAATTGTAAGCAGAAACTTGAACATTTACACAGTCCACTTGATGCTGTAACAGGAACTCACATTTAGTGCTCACACAGTCTACTTAAATATTGTAAGAGGACTTCATAGCTCATGTATCTGGGCAAGAGCACAGAGCAAACAAACAAACAAACAAATAAGAAGTCTTGAATTCTTCTTCTTATGAAACACTGAGTCTCATAGGACTTGTACATACAATCAAGACTTAGACAAATTCACTCTCCCTGGATTTCTTCCTGAGAATGTACTGCAGATTCTCTTAAGTCCTATTTAGGACTCAGTACTAGCTCAGAGGGAGTAATTAGTTCAAGTCAAATTTAGTCGTAATTCAACTAGTAATGAGATGATTAGAAAGCAATACTTTGAAATTTTAAATACTCATGTTTCTAAACATTCTATTAGTACTTGAAATATTGTTCTTTGTCACACTCCAAATTTTTGTTCATTATGTCCTTTGTCTTAGTCTCTAATAAACATTTTGATACATAGACCAATATTTATGTACATAGACCATGAAGCTATTGTTTAAATATAACAAGGTAACAATGCATGGTTTAAAATCTGAAAAGATGTGTCAGAGTGTATCCTTTGTACATATAAATTCAGTTTGTATGTTTTTGTTGTTGTTATGTGCTGTATGAGTTGCCTGTAACTCATAGCTACCCTTTGTACAACAGCTCTGAAGCCTAGCCTGTCCTGAGCCACTCTCACTGACTCTGACACACCTACCCTCATTGCTCTAGTTACTGTATCAATCCATCTCATCAAGGGTCTTCCTCTCCTGTGCCATCTCTCCACTCTTCTGAGCATGGTGCCCTTCTCTAAGGACTGGGCTCTTGTGACCACATGTCCAAAGTATGTGAGATATAGTTTCAAAATCCTGACTTCCAAGGAGAAACTTGATTTCACCCTCTCCAAGACAGATCTATTTGTTTTCTTGGTGGTTCATGGTATGTCTAAGACTATTCTCCAACACCACAACTCAGAGATACCAATTATTCTTCTCTCATCCTTAGGCATTGTCCAGGTCTCTGATGTATAGCAAATAATTATGAAGGTGAACAGATGATCTGAAACTGGACTGTATGAAGATGAATGTGGCATCAAGATTAGAGGAAGACTAATCAACAACTTGAGTTATGCAGATGACACAACCTTACTTGTAGAAAGTGAAGAGGAATTGAAATATTTTCAAGAAGAAGATTAAAGACCCAAACAAACTTCAATATGTATCAGATTGCAACATCAAGGAAACAAAAAATTCTCACCAGTAGTTGAGATGGAGATGATAGAGAAAAGATGGTCAATGATTTAACTTGTCAATGATTTAATTTTTTGTACTCCATAGTCAGCATCCATGGTGATAGCAATCAAGATCAAATCTTTTGATAACCTCTCCAAAGTGCTAATGAACAAAGATATGAGTTTAAAAACTAAGGTGTACCTGATTCATGATTGGGGTTTTTCCCCCAATTGTTTCTTATGCACTTGAAAGTTGGTCACTAAATGAAGATGACAGAAGAATAATTAATGCTTTTGAATTGTGGGGTTGGAGAAAAGTGATGAATATCCCATGGGCTCCCAAAAGAACAAATACAGCTCTCTAGAAGGCAGTGCAAACTGGGTACTCCTTAAAAAGAAAGACATTGAAACTCCATCTTAAATACTTTGGGCATATTGTCAGAGGGATAAACCCTTAGAAAAAAGAGATCAATCTGTGAAAGGCAGAGGGACAGAGAAAGAAAGAAAGGTCCTACACAAGTTCAATTGACACTGGAATTGTAACAACGGACTCAAGCAGACCAGAGATGTTGAAGATGGTGTAGGACAGAACAAGGTTCTGTTGTTCACAGGGTCACTATAAATGACTATGGAGTGGAAGACACCTATCAGCAAAACCAAGAAACATCACTATTCAAAGAAGAAACATAATGGAATAGCAGCTATTTGTTATGTATCTACTATAGTTCATTATCCTTCAGCTCATTACTTCGAAGAAGGAGCACTGAACATACTGTGCACGTTTCTAGGAAATGACTATTATAAATTAAGGAGCTGTAAGCCATATCAAGAGCATAATTACTAGCATAATGCTCACATTTTAGTAAACAGTACAATGAAAACACTTGCTTTGTGCTGTTATACATGGAAGGAGATTGCCCATCTGTCTGATGGAGAAGTTAGTGGATGCATGCCTTTCGGATTGCAGTGTAGTTTTTTTATTTTTTTAATAAAAATTTAAATAAAACTTTTATTTTATACTGGTTTACTTACAAAGTTTATATACATTGTTTTTCACACTGGAAAACAGTTTCCTCTTTCCTTTGCCCAGCCCTCCCTTTACCTATCAAATTGTGCACGCCTATGATTAAGCCCTCACTCCTTTGCACCCCTCGTATTTGTTCTACAATAATTATCTTTTACAGTATTTGTCCTTATGGAACAGAGTTAGTTCACTTAACATAATGCTCTCCAGTCACTACCAAGTTAGGTAGTGATTTACAAAATCATTGTTCCTGTGTGCTTTGCTGTATTCCATTATGTGAATATACCATCATTTCTCAACCCATTCCATAAAGAGACTGCAAAATATAGGCAGAAATGCACAATTTGAAGAAGATAAAATTGAGAAATGGGATCTTCTAAAGATTAAATCTCTGTGCGCATCAAAAACTTTTTCAAACAGGGTCGCTTTTTAACATCGTTATTGTTGTGATGTGTCCTTAAGTCACCTGCAACTCATAGTGACCTTGAGCAGCTCCGAAGCCTGCCCTATCTTGAACCAGTCTCACTGACTCTGATACACTTACCCCTGTTACCCCAGTTACTATGTCATTCCATCTCATCTGAAGACTTCCCCTCCTGCACTGCCCCTCTCTGCTCCTGAGTATGATGTCCTTCTCCAAGGACACTTTTGGCCACATGCACAAAGTATGTGAGATGGAGCTTCAA